GACAAGCCGAGCGGCGGGGCGCTCAGGGGAGGCGGCGGTGGTGGAGCGGAGGTGAGCTGGAGCGGGGAGTGGTTCCTCTACCCCCCCCATTACTTCCTGCGCCCCCCCCACCCTAGCTCACCTCTGCTCCGCCTGCTCCCCTGAACGCGCCGCCGCTCCGCTTCTCCCCCCTCCCTCCCAGGCTTGCCGCGCGCAAAACCGCTATTTCGCGCAGCAAGGCTGGGAGGGAGAGAGGAGAAGCCGAGCGGCGGGCACTCGGGGGAGGCGACGGTGGTGGACCGGAGGTGAGCTGGAGCGGGGAGCGGTTCCTCTACCCCCCCGTTACTTCCTGCGCCCCCCGACCCTAGCTCACCTCTGCTCCGCCTGCTCCGCCCTCCCTTGCCTGAGAGGGAGGGGGCAGAAGCGGAGCGGCGGCACTCCCGGGGGAGCAGGCGGAGTGGAGGTGAGCTAGGGGCAGGAGGTCATGGGACGCCCGCAGGAAGCAATGGTGGGGGGGGAAATGCGGCACACTGGGGGAGGGGGCGGGGCTGGAGGCTTGGGGAAGGGGTTCGGAAGGGGAAGGAGGGTTTGTGTCCGGGGGGCAGGTGGGACTAAAAAAAAGGGGGGGCGGCCAAAAAATTTTTTGCTTGGGGCAGCAAAAATCCTAGAGCCAGCCCTGCCCTCTCCAAGGGTTGCAGCTGTCTGGAGGTGCCTGCCTTCTATGCCTGCCTCATTCACACCTCATTCATTCAACAGGGCAATTGATTACAAAGTGGGGGGGAAGATCTTATTCTACTTCTAGCAAAAAGACATTTTTCTTTTACCTTAATTATACTACCTTAGGGGCCCGCTATAACAAATTACTGAGGTTCAATACTGCTGTTTCGGTGGGGTGGCGCTGGGGAAGGAGGATTTGTTTCCGCGGGGCAGGTAGCGCTGGGAGGGGGGTGGGGGTTCGGCAGCGCTGGGGGGGTTGTTTCCGTGGGGGGGTGGCGCAGTGGGGGGGGGGTTGTGTTTTGGGGGGGCTGGGTGGCGCTGGGGGGGTTGGCGGCTCTCAGGGGGTTTCGGCCCTCAGCTGTTTTCTTTGGAGTAATATGGCCCTCGCCACTTTACGAGTTGTGCAGGCCTGCACTAAGGTATCTTTGCTGGTATGGCTACACCAGAATAGTATACTGGCAAAGAGCTCCTACCCTGGTCGCAGCTTATACCACCAAAACTGTGCTTTTACTAGAATATTATTCCACCACACCTAAGCAAAGAACAGATTACATGGGTAAAAGTGCAATTCTGCCAGTATAACTGTGTGTACTACTAGGGGCTTCTGATAGCACAACTATGTTGGTCAAGAACTACACCTCTTCAACTCCCTGGCCAACACAACTGTGCTGGCAGAAATCTTGAGCGTGTACTTGGCCTTAGCCAGAGTGGATTTTACACCTCTTGCACCTGTTCTACTTGTCTTAGAGACTTACACATGAAACTACATCTCTTGGTTTATGGGACGTTTTAACCTCCTAGCTACCTCCTAGCAGACTTTTAGCTGGGAGCATACCAAGCGTTCCCCCCCGTGACTCCCCAGCCTCTTTCATGGGTAAAGACATGGGGCAAGAATTAGATTGAGAATCCACCACATATAGGAAAGTCATCCAGAGATTTCTGGGGAGCCTGGCAGGAGGCCATTTTGTTTGCTCACATTAGAAAATACCATTTAGTATCCTAAAGTGGTGGGTAACTTGGTTCCTTTGGTTTACAGACTCACTCAAATAAGATTTTTCTAATTATTAAGCCACAAATTCATATAACCAGAGATTCTTTTTGAGGGACAAGAAGTGCATGCTGTGGTCAAGATGTATCTTGTAATTTACAGAGACCTATCTGAAGCACTCCTTGAAGTCCGCTGAAGAGGAAATGAGGTCTCAATAATCCTCTGAAACACTAATCCTTGGCTCAGTGAAGGTCTGTGTGCTGGGAACAAGTCATACATAATTCCTCTTCAGATATGAATGAGACTGATGTTTCAGATAGAGCATTGCCTGCTCTTTAATGTGTTTCTTTATTTCAGCCATACTTGCCTGCTATTTGGTGGAGGGAAGGGAGCAGATTGAGACTGTGAGGAATAGTCCTGTAACAGATCCTAATAAGCTCAGCGCACCTGCCACTGCCCCACATATGCTCTACAGTTAAGAATTGAAAACCTAGGGTGGCTCACTACTTGCCAGAAACAGTAGGGAAATAAAGAGCTGTATTTGGCTAAGGTAGGTGGACCTTGCTTCTGCTGCCAGCGGCAGAATGGCTGGGTGGCAACAGAAAGGGACATATCCAAGTAAACCTACTGCTAGGCAATGAGAGCCATTGCCTCTGGATAGTAAGCACAGGAGGGAAAACCACATTTAAAAGGACTGGTGGAGAAGCAGCTGAAAATGATTTTATAGGTGATAAATCTAGACTAATTACATTTGCATCAATCACTACCACCACCAGGTTTGACCTTCATGGACTTCTTGCCACACCACCATGCACACACAAAGTGTGGAAGAAGACATGAAGTTAATCATGTTGCATTGGGGATACTGAAGCTTATTTTCTTGGAAATTTTGGGTAAACCTCACCATGAGCTACCAACACCACATTATAATACATGTGGAATATAACTTCCTATTATATATGCTTGGTTATAACAATTTATCCTCATTATGGCTAGCAACTTTTACTAACTTGTAATAGGTTTATCATTTAAGCCTTCCATCTTTCATATAATTTCAGTCAGTTAAAATTTGGTTGTCTGGTTAAAGCTGAAGAGATTAAAAATGGTTCTACTCCATATGCTCATAACTGTTTTATAATCAATTTATTTTGCACTACACAAAGGACCTTCTTTGCAAGTCTTCACTGCTGAAAAAAAATTTGTACTAAATATTTCACTGTAATTAACCATTTATGTTAATCATGCTGTCATCTTACAAAACTGAATGCAACATGCATAATTTTTACAATAGTGAAAATTCCCCAAATGCATTCATCTTTCTAATCTATTTACCTGAGTGTTCTGTTAGGGTGCTGTACCATGCTATGACTTTGCAACCTCCTATAACATCTCTGGCTTCTTCTCAGTCTTTCATTGTGTTTTTGGCCAGTTTTAAAGTCTGAAACGATTCTTCTCATTTTTTCCTCAAATAGCGCTGATAATCTCAAGGTCATACTATAAATCTAAATAAAGAGATGTTAACTTTAAATTATAAAGTATCTTACGAGTAAATTGAATGTTTTACAAAAAAGAATTTACTGAAGTGACCATCTGGAAAAAGTGACAAAAATGACTCAGCATAAATTAGAGCTACAAGAAACATATGACTGACACCTACTTTTTCTGAATACTTTTGTTGCACTCTATTCTTTGTCCAAACCCACCAGAACGGTAGATTGCTCTGTTGCATTACTAAATAGGTACTGATAAAGGGCCCAACACTAAATGAATCCTAGCCCAGCCTGACTACTATGAAAGCATAGTGTACAAAAAGGTACCTTTGATCTTTTACTTGGAGTGTAAGATTTTGCATTGCTAAATATTAGTCTTATATCTTTGCATAGTTCCATCGGGTTGTCATAATTTCCAGCTTCCAGCGTCTCCTTCACTGTACCAAAGTCCATTGGAGTGTCTATAATATGTCTGTAGTCCTAGATAAGAGATGGAGCAAAAAAATTTCAGTAGCTTAAAAGGGCATACAGAAAATAAAGCAGAAGAATTTTGATGTGGTTATTTTATTATTTCTATTAGCACAATAAGGACAGCTGAATAGTCTCAAGTCTTGAGCTACAACCTCAGCAATTTAAACACCCCAACCCCAGCAAAAGAGACTCAAGATTTTAGGTTCAGATGGCTTTGGTTCAGCCTCTGTTGCTGCTGTCCCACCTGGGGGTACATACTACAGTAGCTTTCATTTTTAAAAGTTTCCATCTTTTATGATAGCAGAGAAAACCTTGAAAATATAAACAAAGAGCAGCTAATGCAGTGATGTCTGAGTCCACAGAGCTTTATAGCTTTGAGTGGGTAAACTGTCCCCATTCTTCTCAATGCAAGTTAACTTAGGTGCCCAATAACAACATTAAATGTCAACATTAACTGTTTCACCAATGATCAAAGGAGAGGGAAGAGCATTGCATAAATCTTTCACACTATTTATTCCAAGGGGCTGTGTAAATTGGTAGACTGAGTGTATGGGGAAGGCTTAAGAGATACCTCTCCACTTACTTTCCCCTCCAGCCCCCCAATTACTTTCCCCTCCATCCCCCCTAATTAAGAAGGGATTGAGCAGTGCCCAGCAAGGCATCTGAGCCCCACCAAGGAGTCCAACAGAGCCCATGGGTGTATTTGAACCTCAATAAGGGAGAGCCAAATTCAAGGACTGGAACCCAGACAACACAATTTATTGGAGTATTATCTCATTTTGTCATCTTAACTGGGCAGAGGCTCGGAAGAGTAACACTACTTTCTTCCGAACCTTTGAGTATTACTGAACATTTCTGTTACTTTAGCATGCAAAGACCCCAACCAGGATTGGGGCCCAATTGCACCGAGTACTGAACAAACACAGACAGTCCCTGCTACAGATATCTTACAATCTAAAATACATTAGAACAAAAATTATTAGGAAGACATAATATACAAGTAAATGAACAAGACGACTAGTGGCACACTTTGGTTCTTACAGGTTGTGTGATGTGTTTTTAATAGGGTCAGAGGAAGTATTAGGAAGAAATGAAGGTTACTTACCTGTAACCGGAGTTCTTCGAGATGACTCCACATACTCCCACTTATGGGTACTCTGCCACCTTTTGGTTGAACCCTCGTCTAGCAGTAACAGATATAGGACTCTCATATCCCACCTCAACCTCTCTGTGTCTCAATGTATTCAGGGTAAGACTATAAAGGGGGCAAAGCACCCTCCCAACTTCAGGTCCTTCCACTACAAAGCCAGAGACATAATTACAAGGGCTCTAACAGAAAGGGGAAGGAGGGTGGGAAGTGTGCATATGCAGACACATCTTGAAGAACTCCGGTTACAGGAAAGTAATCTTCATTTCTTCTGTGAGTGGCTCTGCATATCCCTACTTATGGGAAAGATTGGCAAAGAGTGCTGAGACTAACCTGGAGGTGGGAACAGGGACTTAACTGAATAAAAACAGAAGCACCACTTTGCCAACCCCAGAGCATGTTGCTTGGTGAAAGATCACTGAAGTTCAGGTTGCAGCTTTGCAAATCTCAGTCTGAGGCATCTGCCTCAGACAAGCAAAGAAAGCAGCCACAGCTCTAGTGGAAAGTGGTTGAATCGAAACAGCTACAGGAATTTTTGCTAGCGTTCAACACTCAGCAATACATTGCTTTATCCACCAGGAAATAGTCTGAGAAGAAACCGTATGCCCCATGTGGTTCCTGGCATATGAAACAATCCAGACATTTTACAAAAGCTCTTAGTTCTGTCCAAATAATAGGCAAGTGCCCTTATGGCAGCCAATGTATGGAACACAGATCTTCTTTCTAGAATGTAGTTTAGAGGGGGAAAATGGTAAATTAACAGACTGATTAATGTGGAAGTCAAACACCAACTGATAAAATGAACATTTAGCCAATGGGGTGAAATGAGATTTCACCAACATGGTCAAAACCAAACTGAGGTCTAAGGAAAGGACAGGGTCTCTAACAGGATGCAC